GTAAGAATTGTATGCATCGCTACAAATAACGCTGTTTAAATGAACAGGAGCAAAGCCATTATCATTTGTGTAAAGATTATATAAGATGAAAATGGCATGATAAAGGAATTTTTGTGGAATCAACTAGATTGGTATTAATCCATATTCCCTTTAAAAAATTAAGTAAACATTTAAGGTAATGATCGCGGTTTTCTTTATTTAGAGAGCAAAGAGAAGCACGAAATATAATTTAAGTGATATTATTCCTTTCGCCAAATTCAAGTATTTAAGGGCGAAATTTAAATGGTTGATTGTCTGATTGCAGGAAAAATTAAAATAACTAATGTTAATCTATGTAAAAAATACAATAGAATTAGATGAAATGATAATAAAGGCGATGGTTAGGCTTATAAAGAAATTTTAATTTGCCGTCTGAAAGGTAATATGAGACTTACCTTCCGTTTATCCCTCATTGACCCTTGACCTCGCACCATGATCTTGCATTCTAGATCTTGCTCCAGCTGCTTAGCGGTAAGTCCGCGTGGGCCCAGCAGCCTTCCAACAAAGTTGTACTATTAAAAAGATAGTTAATATTTGATTCATATAGTTATGCTCTACGTCTGTATAATCTAAACTCAATTTGTTGCTTACATTAGGATTTTCTTTCACAGGGACAAAAACTTTCTCCTGAAGAGTAATTATTGGTCCCGAGGCCTCAGGCATATCATCTTCTGCTTTTTTTACTGACCCATTGAGGTGGAACAATCGCTCTCTGACTCTGGCAATTTCTGAAGTTGGTAGGTATTAGGTTCAAATAAGATTTTAAGGCCAAATGTAGAACTAATGATAAAATGGTTAATTAAGTCAGCTTGACTATGAGTAATAAGTATGCGCAAACAAAGCAAAGTTTATCAAATAAACCATAGACAAATCCATGTGCCAGTTATGAATATTAATATAATAAAGAGTTAAATCGAAAATGCATGAATGAAAGGCACATACTGTTTACACAAACTAATGATTTTTTTATGTTCCGGATTGTTATATGATAAATTATTTAATATGCTACGAAAGATAATAATTAATTAGAATTAAATTAAAAATCAAAAACGTTTGTTAATTCCCCTAGGTATGTTACATACTATAAAAGACTGTCCAAAAAAGGCCAAGCTAGAGGGATTTTTCAATCAAATTGTTTGAATACGCAGGATACACAAGACAGGTAGACCTCGATTAAACTTTTATTTAATGGCACGGCAGCAAGCAAGCATTTATAGATAAGTGGATCATTATTGCGTTAATAAAAGTTGGAAGCTGATAAATTTACATAATTTTTAACTGCAAAGCAATAACACCATGGCCAGTAAATTGCGTGCCGATTCAAAATAATTTAACTAAGCGAGTATACATTCAATGACTATATAGATGTTGATTTAAAAAGATGGAAGTTGGAGTAAGGATGTGCAATAAACCAAATAGACTAGAAAATTTAAATAGGAATCCATAGTGCGAGTATGAGATTTGTTAAATTAATATAGCCATTAATAACGCTCACGTGAATTAAGAGCGCTGTTAAACTATAGTTCAAAAAGAAGTAATAGCTATTATTAAATATTGCCTATTGTACTGTTAGCGTATAAACAAGATTTAAAGGCAAATTTACTGATTGAATTTG